CCCCCCCCCCCCCCCCCCCCCCCCGCTCCTTCCCTGCACTGAAGACTTGAGAAGATGTGATGTTGAGGCAAGAATGTCCAAGAGAAGCAAATTCCTCTTTAATAACTCCCGTTGGACCTTTCCAGAGGTGTTTTCTTTCAGATGAATAGCATCATGGGAAATTTATTTGCTTTCTTTTCCTTTTATGAATATTTATTTTATTTTTATATGTATGTATATTCACATGTGTGCGAGTTTCCCTTGAGTTCAGAAGAGGATGTTGGGTCCCCTGGAATTGGAGTTACAAGCAGTGAGTGGTGAGCCATTCTGAACTGGGTCCTCTGCAAGAGCAGAAAGTGCTCTTAACCCTTGAGCTATTTCTCCACCCCTACTCAATGTTTTCAAAGACTTAACCAGCTGCAAACAGGCAAGATGGGGCTTGCTTCATGGTGTTTGTTTTTTTCTCTTTCCTTTTAAAAACTCTTTAGCTTGGCCTGTTATTTCCAGTTACATGGGATTCTGAGGAAGGATGGTTGCAAATTGAAGGCTTGCCTAGGCTACAGAATGGGTTCAAGACCAACCTGGGCAACATAGTAAGATCCTGTCTCAAAATAAAAAAGATGGGGTTGTAGTTCAGTGGTAGGAGGTTGCAGAATATGCATGTGGTCATAGGTTCAATCTTAGCACTAAAAGAAATGAAATACAATTTCTAATCTTTGAGTGTATCTACAGTTCTATTCCTACTTACTATCAATAAAAACTTTTAGGAGGTAGTTATAAATGTATTTAATCTCATGTTAATTTAAATAAACCACTTACTCATATGGTTATCCCTTTTCTTTATAAATAAATGAATCCCCCAAAACATTTTGTCACTTAAAAATATTCAGGCAAAAACATAGTTTTAAAGTGCCTCTGAGCCATTTCATTAGCACAACTTCTTATATAATTTTGGAGGCAAGGGCTGGTCTTGAACTCAGAATCCTCCTGCATCAGCCTGAGTGCTGGGATTACAGGTATGTACAGCCACACCCATCTGACAGCTGTTCCTAATTCTCTATACTGTGTCACACAGTTAAAGTCAAGTCCTGTAAGTATTAGGTAAGCACAACACAGATGGACATCAGAGCCGAGAGGTCAGATGCAAGCTGTATTCACGCTGGTCCTGTAGAGATGTCACTGTCAGAGACTATGGCATGAAGCCAATCTGAATTCTCTTGGGATAACTTGCAGACAAAAGGATTTGGGTTATGACATGAGGAGTGATTTCTTCTCATCTTAAAAGCACCGTAAAAACACAATAACCACAATAATGACATCTCATTTCAAGGAGGACTCGCATGTTGACAAAGGGCTGTAATAATATCTTATATCCTTACAATGGTTTTGCCTTTCAAAGTATTTGCATGTCTCATTTTTCTGAAATAGGCAGGATAAGAATTGGGCACTTATGTTCTGTAATGGATGTTGGCATGAATTCTAGGACACAGATCTGCAATCTTCCCTTTCCCACTGAAGGGCCACACAGTAAATATTTAAGAGTTTTTGATCACACAAGCAAATGCATTTAAAATGAAGACTTGAAAATGGAGTCAAGGTCAGGTTTCAAGTGGAGGGTTACCTGGAGTTACAGTATGCATTCAAAGCCAAGAATGAGCCAGGTGTGGTGGTGCAATCTTAGCACTATGGTGGCTGAGGCAGGGGGATTGAGACTTTGAAGTGAGTCTGGGTTATACAATGAGCTCTCATGAGGAAGCTGACCTTCCTAATATGATTCTTTTGGCTCAGAGGTCAAGCCTTGTCAACCGTGTACAAGGCCTGTATTCAGCCCACAGCATCCAAAAATAATATCATAAGCAATTACTCACCACCTTCTCTATGTTAACAAATCCTGTAACAGACAACATGTGGGCTGATATCTGCTGTGTCTGGCTAGTATCTGTCTCCCACCTTACAGTGAGAGCCAGATTTTCCCATGATGCATCATGCCTGCCTATTCTGTTCTAACTGAGTCTGACATGTCACCTGCTCTGGGTGACATAGCTTTAGGCCTGGCAAGCAGAGTATAGCATTCACTTTGACTTTGATGAATGACTTTTGCTGAATGTTTAAAGGGGATGCACATGGTCAAGCCAGGCCAATGCCTCTAAAAATTTATTCATTTTGTTTTTTAAATTGTGTGTATTTGGTGTCTGTGTGTGCATTATGTGCATGTGTAAGTGCAGTACCAGAGTCCAGAAGAGGGCGTCAAATCCCCCAAACCGGAGCTACAAGCAGATGGAGCTAGGAACTGAACTTGGGTTCTCTGAAAGAGCAGAATAAGCCTTTTTAACTACGGAGCCATCTCTCTAGACCAATGCTTCTAAACCAGAGCTTCCCCAGGGGGTTTGTTGAGTGATAGGCAGTAAGAATCTCATTCTTCTTTCTGGAATGACACCATTATGGCCCCACTAGGAGCCATCTGATGATTCTAACAGAGAGACTCATGGCTTGGAGCATCCAGGGTATAGTCTGCAAGACCAGAACCAATAACGTTTCCTAGGAGGTCTTAAAAGACTCCAGGTAGATCTTCTAAACCACACAATGTGCACTGGCAGGTGTTTGAGAAACACTTTAAGTCCAAATTGGGTTGGGTTTGTTTCCAATGTATACTCAAGAATCCTGATCAATTCATTTCCCATAATCTTTTGTTAATTGAATAGGATGCTTGCTGATAAGAGCTCATCAAGGAGAATGCCAGAAGGTCAACACATAATTTGCCATCCAACGCCATCATGGGTGGGATGGAGAAGCACTAGGCTTTGTGATTCCAATGTGGCTTGTCCACTGTACATTGTCCACTGGCTTCTTGGCTATCGAAAGCCTTGTTCATGGTCCAAGAGAAATGGGATGAAGCAGTTGTCTTTCAAGCAGGGGCAGGGAGGAGCTAGGTGTATTTCTCAGGTCTGCATGATACAGGGTCCTCTACTGTCTTAGTTTCCCTTCTATTGCTGTAATAAAACACTCTTAACAAAACAACTTGGGGCAGAAAGTACTTATTTGGCTTACATTTCCAGGTACAGTCCATCATTGGGGGAGATAAGGCAGGGACTCAAGCAGTTTGTCACACATCCACAGTCAAAGGCAGAGAGAACACTCAGCCATGCTGCCTGCCCATGCACAGTCTACCTTTTTCACTCTTACACAGCCCATGAAATCATTCTACCTGCATTGAAGGTGGGTCTTTCTGCTTCCACTGACCATCAAGACAATCCCCCACAGACATGAACCCAGGACAACTTGACCTAGACAATTCTTCATTAAGACTCATTTCCCAGGTGATTCTGGGTTGTGTCAAGTTGACAGTTAAGACTAGCCAGCACATTTGCCCATTCACATAATGCCATATAATCAATAATAACTTCAGTTGATTCAGATGTCTGAGATTTGGGGTCGCTTGTTGCCACAGCCTAGTCCAGGTCATCCTGACCAGGACACATGGCAGCCTAAAGGATATATGTATATGTATATGTATATGTATATGTATATGTATATGTATATGTATATGTATATGTACATGAAAAAGAGAACTGAAGTGGTTCAAATTAAAAGTAAACAACAAGGATATTGGTATGTGGACATGGCTAGTACCATGACAACATTATCTGAGGAGCTTAGCTAATGAAAGGTAATGTCACTTTCACGGTGGAGGAAAATGGGGTTACTTATACATAAAATAATTTCAGTGATGACCTGGGAAAGAGGAATCATGCAGGGGTACTGTTAATCAGTAGGATGCAAGGGCTGTCATGACAGCATGACTTACCATAGCGAGAGGGACAATGGCGACCAGGTCCTTCTGGCTGATGAAGATTTCAGACACAGCAATGTCTGTGGTTCCCTTCCTTGGGTACTCCACCTGCCATGTGATGGGCTGTGTCCCTGACAGGCTGCTGAAACTGGTGATTTCAAAATTCATCTGCATGACCTCGTTGAATAGATTGCTGCTTCTGGAAGCAAGTGAAAGGGACCAGCTTTAATGTCATGTTGTTTGAAGGATCCTGCTCTTCCTTTACCCCCAATCCTACAATTGTGCTCAGAATGACAGGATGAAAAAAAAAAAAGCTTTCAGAGACAGCTCCAGGCACTTGAAGCATGATGTCATTTTCAAGTTAGAGTGGAGAGCTAGGATAGAGTGACATCCACAAGCCACAGACCTGAGCAGAAATTCTTAGATATTAAGCACTGATCAGTGTGCAGAAGGATGGGGTATTTAGGTTGTTTTTGAAGTAAGGACTCACTTCATAGCCATAGCTGGCCCCGAGCTCACTCAAAACTTGTAGAAGTCTCCTTCCTCAGCTTCCTGAGTTCTGGGATTAGTGTGCACCACCATGCCCAGGTAACACTCATTGCTTTTGTTTTTAGTAGGACTGGACTCCAAAGTCATGTTCAGGTGGGGAACTGCCATAAATATATACTTTTAAAACTGACTCATGGAGTTGAGCTGTACCTCTAGTGGTAGAGTGTTTGCCTGGCATGCACAAAACCCATGGTTCAATTCCCAGCACTGGATCTACCAGGCATGATGGTGCACACCTGTGATCCCAGGACTTGGGAAGTTGAATCAGGTGGATGGGAGTTAAAGGACATCCTGGTTACACTATGATTTCAAGGCTAACCTAGGATACAATCTCTGCCCCCCAATAACAAACCCAGTGCAGTACGTGAGTCTGATTCATCCAACTCTGCATTGAATACCCTCACTCAGAATCTGCCCCCATCAGATGTCCTCTTCTATGCTTGCTGCTGGAAGACAGAGACAAAGAAAAGGAGCCAGTTCATCGTGTATCCAGCACTCTTCTGCTGTCTCTCAGCTTCTCCCTTGAGGAGGCCAAGAGCCCCCACCTAATTGGGTGTGTGGTGATGTTGGAGCAATGAAGAGAGATATTTAAACACTCAGGCAACCTTAGAGAGTACTAGGAATCCACTACTTGATAAAAATCAATGGTGTGGATTTACAGATGTAAGTCTTGAAAGAAAATTTCAAAATTGGCTTAAAATAAAGTAGTTACTCCAAAGTAAATAAATCCCCCAGTAGTCACAACACATTTTAGACCACTGGAAACCCAATTTTCCAAACCTCTTGTCCATTGGAGTCATCTGTAAGAAAATGGAGCCTAAGAATGAGCTAAAAGCTAAAGAGACTTTAGCTTCCCAGCCTGGGCAGCTCAGTGCCTGTGGAAGCAAAGAGACTCACAAAATGAAGAAATGAAATTCTCAATGGGGAAGCCTCTCCCAGGAGAACAGTACGGTCTGCTGTGGGCTGTATTTTACCCCTCCTTCTTCAAGTGCTGTCACGAACCCAAACATCTCCTTCTTGCCCACAGAAGCATCTTTCCAAAGAGCTCTCCATGGTTCTGAGGAATATGCATTTGAATTGCAGGCTGTAGCTTGAGTTGACTAAGAAAGTGGGGACTGAACAAGTTCCTCTCAAAGAACAGGATAGGAGGAGAAAAGAGTTGTAGGGGAGAACCCTAACTAATCTGTGTATCACCATGTGGTAATATTATGGCGTGTTACTCCTTTGGCTGCTACAAGGCATCTCCCTGACTCTGTCTTCTTTCTCTCCATCTCTGTTTGGATTTCTCATCTAGCTATATTCTGTCCTGCCATAAGCCCAAACAGCTTTATTCATCAACCAAAAAAAGCAATACATATTTGCAGCACACAGAAGGACATCTCATATCATCTCCCCTTTTTTGTCTACCTCTGATTAAGATATTTTTATATATTGTTACAATTTTGAGGTCACTGTCCTCATGCTGCTCATGTGTTTAAAGATTATTTTTATAATGTGAAGTTTTAGTCTTTAAGCCATATGGGTTATTAAGAATTACAGGTTGATAATCACCCATGTTTGTCAGGCTTATAGTTAGGTTAGTTAGGTTCTCTAGATGCACAGAGATGTACTCTACATAGACAGTTAATCTTCAAACACTCTAAAGACCTACAGAATATGACATTTAAATGTTTTAATAACTTAGAATTCTGTTGATGTGAGACACAACTGCTCCTGACAGCACTGATCTATTTCTGGAAGGATGTTGGACACGGAAGACTCTCCAGGTAGAACTTGTTTTCTTCTTGGCTAAACTGGCCTATTAGGCAAGGAACTGCCCTTGTCTCTACTGCTGACAGTAAGCACACTGCCCATTCTGGACAAGCAGGATACAAGGAAAAGCAACTGCTGAATTTTGCTAAGACAGGGTAGGACAGTCTTTCAAATTTTCCTGCTTCTGAGCTGGGCAGTGCTGGAGAACACCTTTAATCCCAGCATTTGGCAGGCAGAGGCAGGTGGATCTCTGTGAGTTTGAGACTAGCCTGGACTACAAGATCTAGTTCTAGGACAGGCTCCAAAGCTACACTGGGAAATCCTGTCTCAAAACAAACAAACAAACAAACAAACAAACAAACAAACACAAATTTTCCTGCTTCTGAAACGGTCTGTCACATATTCTAGACCTATAGCCAAAGCTGGTTGTCCCAACATTGCAGAGACTTTGGGTGACTGTCCAGGTAGCCAGTTGTTTCTGTCTTTTCTTGAATCTTTTGGAAGTTGCTTACTCAGTTAATGTTATTTTCCTTCTCAGGTCTTTGGGGTTGAAGACTAGATAGTCATAGCTACTATCTTCTCATATCTTAGCTAGGATCTATTAGGTACAAGACTTAGACACTTCAGGATAGGACAGCTATTAGAATAATCTCTGTTATTTGCCAATTACCTATGGCCTGGACACTTAGTATGTATTTCTTGCTTGATGTTGTCCTTCTTGTAGTTCCATTTTTGTTTATGTTATTACCCTTTCTTTCTCCTGGACAATACTTGATAATTGTTCTTATTGTATATAGTTTTGTATTATGTTTAGAACTTTCTTATTTAGACAAAAAAGGGAAGTGTTGTAGGAACTCATTCTGCCAATAGCCTTGGGGTACTAGCCTTAGGGCATGGCTTGTTGTCTGTGGATGCCACTTAAAAAGAGAGAGAGAGAGAGAGAGAGAGAGAGAGAGAGAGAGAGAGGTCTTGAACTCTCTTGGGTGGTGAAGACATGGTCAGGCACCATGAAGTGGTGTATGGTTGGTCCTCTTCTCCCTTGGGCAAAATGGAAGGACTCTGCAACCGGAGATATATATATATATATCGTTATGGTTCACATTACAGTATTCTTCCATTACCTTCAAATGACATATTGCTATACCGACCTATCAGAGGCACGCAGTACATGTTTGCTGAATGAATAATAGATGAGTGATGGCTCCAGGAGCCTGGCTTCCTGATATTCACACTTTTCCTTCCAGTAGTCAGGTTAATATTAATTTCTACTCAGGAGGGGGAGAATCTCCACTTTGTTAGAAAGGAGGGTGGAGGCACACTTTGAAGCTATCAGCTTTTCCAGAAGGGCTGAACCCATTCCAAGAAGAAAAAAAATTAGCAAAAAGCAGAGTCTGTTGGAGACCTTCCAGAGAAGACATGCTCCGAGGTCCACTCCTAAAACTTTGCATTTTCCAAATATCACAGAGGACAGGCGCTGGATCCACTCCAAAGCCTGCTATTGAATTTTACGCCTGCTAAGCTCTGCTAAGTACATAATGAGGAGTCTGAATTAACTATGCAAAAGTGTAATTTACAGTTAATGTTTGTAATTGATGAGTTGCGGGTCTCTGTGGCAGCTCTAACTGCTGAGACGAAAGGGCCCCGGGGGGATGAAGGCAAGTTTTTTAGTTCTAGAACAGAAGGCTTCCTCTACCCATGCTCTCTCCAGTCATCCATCCATCAAGCATTTAGCAAGCAGATTCCTGCCAGGCACCCATTGGAAACACTCAGAAGCTGATCATAGGAAACACTACAGAGTCACTGTAGTTAACAGTGGGTGGGAGAGTGCTAAGAGACCTCCCAGACGCATGCTGTCCACTCCCCAGTCACTTGGCTAAAGACACAGAGAGTGAGAGAGTGGCCCAGCCAATGCGTATTAGCAAGCCTTGGGGCTCCTTTCTAGTCCCAGGGTTCTCTTCATTGGCATCCAGTGAAGTGGCATTTTCCAAGCAGCAGGAACTCAACTAGGGCTGAGAAGTATGGTGGTTTGAACACGAACTATCCCCACCTCCACCTCCCAGGCTCATACATCTGAACACTTTATTCTGAGCAGGAGATGCTTTTTAGGGTGGTGGGTGGTCTTAAGACATTTGAGAGATGGGTCCTCACCCAAGGAAGTTGGTTCTGGGAGTGGTGAGCCTTGAGGTTGATAGCCTGATTTTTGTCTTATCTTTGTTGACTGACAGCATGATGGGAACAGCTGCCACAGCTCCCATTGCAAGACAGCCCCTGCTCTCCCTTGCCTGTATCCCCTCAGACCATGGAGCCACAATAAGCTTAAGAGTAACTATTGGGAGAAGGCTGTCTTACTGTGACTGCAAATTTGTTGTATTTGGACACACACCCCACCTAACTTATACCAACAATCTCTATCCTCCTATTTGAGGTACTTAACCTGGGCTGGATGACCTAGCTTGACTTCCTTCTTAGGTGTTTCCTTTCTCTTACTGTACAGAGCCTAGAGGGTAAGCAGGGTGAGTTCCTGACTCCTCTGTGCTCTGCCTGACTAATGGGGCTAACCCAAAGTTATGTGCTCTCCCTGCTTCTTGTCAAAAAGCACAGCATGAAGAGAGATGAGAGGCTGGAGATGTCTCAGATGGTGAGGTATACACACATACACACAGAGAGAGAGAGAGAGAGAGAGAGAGAGAGAGAGAGAGAGAGAGAGAGAGAAGAAGAAGAAGAAGAAGAAGAAGAAGAAGAAGAAGAAGAAGAAGAAGAAGAAGAAGAAGAAGAAGAAGAAGGAATGATTAACAATGGTTCCTGCATAGAGGATGCTGCCTGGCTAGACTTGCTGTGGGGATCACCACTTTGTGCCTCTGCTCCTCCTGGTCACTTCATGCTACCAGATTTGATTTC